TTGCTGAACAACAATGGCCTCTGTGACCATACTGCCGGTGCTTACATCCCCTGCAGACGGGATCTAGTCAAGGTTGAATCGGATCCAGGGTCTCGGGTTGCGACGTTTTGCTTTGCTGTGATTCTGTGAAGTTGCAAGAAATCAACACAGAAGGCGCTGCTTTGCAAGGTTCTGGATGGGTATGGCTTGTTTTAGACAAAAAGCTGAAGGAACTCGTGGTTGAAATCACTACAAATCATATAAAAGGAATCGCATGTTCCCACCATGCTCATTGTTTGAGAAGGCCACGACAAAAGCAAAAGATAAAGTTACTGTCTGCCAGGAAAATAAAGAGAAAAGGAAAAGATGAGCTCTCAAGTAGGCGCAGTGAGCACCAACAACACGCAACTGTCAACCACTCCCCTAACGACTGCTTTATTTATTTATTTTAATGATGTGATTTACTTTTCTTATCTGTTGGAGATATCTGTATAACCCCATCAGAGGGTAAATAAAGAAAGAATGCAGCATGTAAAAAAAAAAAAAAAAGCAAAGCCCAAAATAAATGGGCTAGCATGTTGTGGAGAGCGAAGGCCCATAAGCCTAAAATAGCACCAACCGAGTCATCAAAAGTACGCCCAGTACTCCACAATTATTCGGCAACCCGCCGCTATTACCACAAACCAGGTGACCAAAAGTACGCCCAGTACTCCAAAATTATTCGGCAACCCGCCCTATTACCACCAACCAGGTGATGAAATGTACAACCCGTATTGTAATATCATTTGGCAACTAGCCATTCATGCCACCAACCAGGTGATAAGATGTACAACCCGTATTCTAATTTGGCAACTAGCCATTCATGCCACCAACCATATGATGAAATGTACAACCTGTACTCCCCTTCATGTACATAAACATTCATGAGCATCACTCATGACAATCATACATAAACATTCATGGCCATCATTCATGTCAACATTCATGAGCATCACTCATGTTAATATTCATGAGCATCACTCATGACAACATCCATGAGCATCATTCATGTCAATCAACATAAACATTCATGAGCATCGCTCATGTCAATCAGCTTCAAAAGCTTCATTTCCAGAGCTCTAGCTTCAAAAGCTTCATTTACAAAAGTTCCAGCTTCGAAAGCTTCATTTACAGAGCTCTAGCTTCAAAACTTCACTTGCAAAACTTCACCTACAAAGCTTCAGTGCAGGGTATACAAATACCGCATCCGAACAACAACCACTTCGGCCCATACATGGATTCAATTTGAAGTCTCCAGCCAATAGACTCTATTAACCGAAGACTTGGGGGACTACATTATGTACCATATCTATGTACTGAGAAGCGAGCCCTTATTCTATAAAAGTGACTCTCTCACTATCATTAGAGCAGCATCAACTCTAACCCATTATTCATGTATTGAGAAGCGAGCCCTTATTCTATAAAAGGGACTCCCTTAACATCATTAGAGAGCATCGCCACCTACTGAGCAACCGCTTCGTCGCAAGCATCAACTCTAGCCCATCATTTATGTATTGAGGAGCGAGCCCTTATTCTATAAAAGGGACTCTCTCACCTTCAATGCCACAAACTGAGCCAACCAATGCAACATAAGCCACGAGTCGAGCAGCCTCGTAGCATGTGCTACTCCTAGTTGAACATCATTTCAGATTCAGCACCGCCTCATATCGAACATCAATTCAAGACAACATCTAGTTACTTCGGCCCACACATGGACTGAATTTCAAGTCTCCAACCAAAAGACTCTCTTGACTGAAGACTTGGGGGACTACTATTTATACCATATTTAGGGCCTCGTATTTAGACTTCGTACCAATACTAGAGGGACTTAAATGCAATTATGTGATAAATGAAGGGGAAAATATGTAATAAGTGAGGAGTCCTTATTCTATAAAAAGACCCCTCACCCTCATAATTAGGGGAGGCCATTTCAGAGGCCAATTCCTAAAGCTCCTCACCCCTCTCCAAGCTCTCACTCTCAGAGCTCTCTCTCCCTCAGATAAATTCATATTCAGTATGAACGTAGCCCAAACCTTGGGGTGAACCATGATACATCTTGTGTCATTTACATTACTTGTAGTTTTACGGTCGGATTTACGTTGTTCCAAGACCTCCGGTTTTGTGCATCAACATACCTCATATTTTAAACATTACAATGTCATACCTCAACTTATAAATTCGTTGCAATGTCAGATCTTTGTTAAATTTTTTGTCAATTTGGCTGTTAACCGGTGAAGTGGCAGACAACTAACCCACTCACTTATCCAACTGGATTGATAAATTAATAAAATATTAAAAAATTAAGAATTTTATTTTTATTTTGTAACAACAAAACTAAAATAATAAAGAGGTCCCACCACTAAGCTTAGCAATTCATCCCCATCACCACCGTGCATTATCCTCTCCCACACCAGACGCCACCCTCACTTTCATAACTCCGGCGAAGTCCTTTTTTTTCTCCGGCCATTGGATTTTCCCCGTTGGCGATTATTTATGAAATTTCTTCCATCTTTGGCTTGTCCAATTATGAAGTTTGAAGGTTATGGAGGAGAGAGAGGGAGGTGCTGGGCGAGTTGACCAGGCATGGAGGAGAGATAGGTGCTGGGGTCGAGTCTGCAGTGGTAGTGGGCGTGTGGTGACTGAAGATATTGAAGGTTTTGAGCTTCTTGATTTGCGTGGGTTGTTGCATGAATTTGGTCTCGATCTACAAGTGGAGATCTGCAACTGTTGCTGCTGTTGAGAGGTGAGGTGTTATAGGTCAGGACACGGGTTGCAGAAGCCGGTCGTGAAGAAGACCGACGTTCATCAAAATTCGGGCCTTGCTAAAGCCCAGGGCTTTGTGGTGGCTGCTGTTGCGAAACGAGATATTGAAGAAGACATTTTCAGGAACACTTCGTGGTGGCTGCTGTTGCAAACCTGCAGATATTGAAAAAGACGACATTTTTTTAGGGGAATAGCGAAGAGAGTGACATCGTGAGTGGCTAGTTTCGTGGTTGAGTGGTAAAGGTTGATTTGAAGCTCTGGCGGCGGGAGGGATCAGACGACAAAGATTTTGAATCCAAGGTTGCAGAGGACTTTGACTCTTTTTTTTTCTAGGCTCTAAGGTTGCTGCGAGTTGCAGCTGTGGGTAGTGTGATAGATTTTTTGTAGTTCAATGTGTGGGTTTCTGAGTTAACCCCCAATCAGGTGGTTGGAGAAGAAGAGGACTTCACCGGAGTTATGAAGGTGAGGGTGGTGTCTGGTGGCGTGGGAGAAGAAATTGCATGGTGGTGATGGGAAGGAATTGCTAAGCTTAGTGTGAGACCCTTTTTATTATTTTATTTTTGTTGTTACTAAATTATTAATTTCTCAATCTAGTTGGATGAGTCCGGGACCCAATTGCGTCACGTCAGCAGTTAATAGCCAAATTGACAGAAAATTTAACCGAGGTCTGACATTGCAACAAATTCATAAATTGAAATATAACATTTTAATGTTTAAAATATGATGTATGTGATTGTAGTTCGACTAATAATTGAGGTAATTTTGTGTAATTTACCCTAACATTTAAATAAGCCTATTTTTTAATAACCTTTAATTAATAAATTAATTCAAGTAACCCTACTTTGGTATTTCTATCACTATTCAATTTTTAGGATTAATCTCAGTTTCCTATCCTAAAATTTCGTGGTTTTCAATATTTGGTACATAAATTTTTTTTCATTCCAGAATCATACCTCAAGTCTTAATTTTGGGACAGTTTTATACATCCGTTAAGCTGGTTATTAAGTCAGTCGTTAACTGGTGATGTGACGCTCACGTGAACAATGACTAGGCACCACATGTCAATATGGGCCCACGTGAATATTAAAAATTAAAAAAATTAAAAACTAAAAATAAAAAACTATAAAACTAAACCTAAATCTAAACCGTTCCCCATCGCCTAGACCCATTCTTCCTCATTCGTCCTCGTCAACTTGGTCTCCTTCCTTCGTCCTTCTCCCCACTCGCATTCATCCTTCTCCCAACCCGACCAATCCCTCCCCTAATCCTTCCATACCCAACCCAACTCGACTTGGTCTCCCTGCAACGTGTTCGAAATCGAGAAGACCCTGACCTCGCTAAGGAAGATCACGTAGACCAGAGAGGATGCCCGAGCCCAACTTTGCACCTTGCAGTGCGTGGTCCTTGGAGTTTGCCCATTAAATTTTTTCCAATTCCAATTTCTAGTGTTTTCCCTATTCTTGCCCTTAAAAAAAATTGCAGAAATTTGGGGACGAAGGTGAAGGCCAGAGAAATCTCGCTCATCTCTTCACTCCACGGCCAAATCCCACTCATTGGGTTTTCATCTCTTATTCCTTCATCCGTGCCACGGCGAAACTGGGCAAAGCCAAAGGCACGACAGACTCACCAACTCAGATACCAACCATTTATTTTCTGCCTGAACCACCCAATCAACCCCGATTCCACCATGACCCGCACCTGTTGCTGCTCAATTGTGGCAAGCTCACGCATGCCTGACTACCCGTTGCAACCCTCCAGAACCACCAAAGTTGCATCTCCATCGCACCCAAATCCGCAAAAGAGAGAAAAAGGGACGTGGAGAGAGGAAGCAATTATCCCCACCTTTTTTTTTTTAATTTATTAATTTTTTTAGTTTTTTTATTTTTTATTTCCATGTGGACCTTAACGACATGTGGCGCCTTGTTATTCTCTACATGGACATCACGTCATCAGTTAACGGCTGACTTAACAATCAGCTTAATGGATGTATGAGATTGTCCAAAAATTGAAACTTGAGGTATGAGTTTGGGATGAAAACAATTTCATGTACCAAATATTAAAAACCCCTAAACTTTACGGTAATAAACTAAGATTAACCCCAATTTTTATGTCCATTCCTCATCTTTTGCAATTTAAAAATATTTTCCTTGTCGGAAAATTAAATAGAAAAATAAAAATAAAAAAACATGCCATTGCTTAAAAAAGGAGTTGAATTTTATTTTTATTTTTGACTGGGCAACCAGACCGCACACATAAACACCATTTACCTCCGAAATCCACCATTTCTCTCGCGCCCAATTAGCCCCCTCTTCCCGCAACATCTCTCTCCTTTTCTCTGTAATTTTTTCCGTTTTCGCATTTCTTTCCCATTTTCTGGATTCAATAAATCGCTGCAAAATTCGTCGCCGTTTTCCCCGATCCTATTTTCCCCCAGGTATTTAATTTGGTTGACGATTTTTTTTTTAAATTTCAATTTTAATTCAAATTTTAATCAATGAATCTGTTTTGGTTGAATATCAATGGCGATTTCACTCTGATCCGTGCTTTTTCTGTAGCTACGAGAAGCTTTATAGTTGCTGTATACATTGGTATATTAGTTGGTAGTGTGGGGAGAGTATGATCGATCCGCGGCATTGTTGTAAAACCCCAATGCGCGGTGAGATCGATCTACAATTCTTCGGTACTACGAATTCGAATCCAGTAAATGTGTATGAATTGTGTATGGATTTGCGTATGTTCTGTATATGCATGTTCATGTTTTGGGTGGTTAGGTAGATCCGTAAAAATGAAATCTTGCTAGCTTGCTTTCTTCTTTGATTCGAACCTTCAATAGGGTTGTCTTTGCGAACCGCTATATCCGGCTGCAGGAAAATGTGGACATAGATATTGGAGTAGATGGTGGAGGCTGTATTAAATGGAAGAAGTCACGTGGGGGCTGTATTAAATGGGAGAAGTCACTTTAATTAAGCTAAGTAATTATTGATCTAATGGACTATGGTGAAATCGGGATTACTTAAAATGAACCCGACTTGGCACAATAAGCAATAGACTGCTAGAAGAGTTGCAACTCGATATGTAGAATAAAGTTCCAACTGGAGACGACTATGTGGTGTGGGATGAGAGCTGCTTTAGGGTTATGTCTGCAAGAATTTTAAAAAGCTAACAGAGGGATCTTACGTATTTAGTGGTTTTATCTGTTGGAGTTTTTTCAATTTATTATGATATCCACTACTTTTATCCTTGAAACTTGAAAGTACTGTCAGTTAGTAGCTTTATTTTCCCCTAGTCAGATAGGTGATTCGTTGATTATTTGAATTGGTTGTGTTTTTACAAGGTTGACTAAATGATATGATTATTTTCGTAATTTTGTAGGTAACTCAGTGTATATGCTATATATGAATTATTCATAGAGCTATATTATAATGGAAGAAGAAGAGGAGAGGAAGAAGGAGGTTGAAACGATTTCCAGCAAGGATTCAGATAATCATGAGGTGGTGAATGGTGTACAGGAAAAAATTGATCCATCACATCAGGAAACTATTAATAATGCTGATAGTGATGTAGCTGATGTGAAACAAAATAGCATAACCTCGCAAGTGGTCGATTCTGTCACTACAGTAGTGGATGAAGATCATTTTGAGCAGGTTTCTTTGAAAGATCAGGATAAGATTGGTGCATCTCAAGGTGTTCACGTGGACTCTAATCAATCATCAGTTTCAGATATTGCTAGACTATCATCTGGTCAGTTTGAAGATGCCTCACAGTCATTTACAGCAGAATTGAATTCTTCTGTAGGTGATGAAATGCGATCTGATCAGTCTTCCTGGAGCCCAGTGAAGGACAGAAAATTTAGTCACAAGCCATCTATGTCATCTTCTAGTTTTGATTCTGCTTTTTATGGGGATGCAGGTTATTCTCCTGCTGGTTCACCTCCAAAACCAAGGCCAAAACCTGCTATGCCAAATGTATCTCCGGAGTTATTGCATTTAGTGGATTCTGCCATCATGGGGAAGCCTGAAAGTTTGGATAAACTGAAAAATATTGTTAGTGGTGTAGAGAGTTTTGGAAGTGGGGAGGAAATGGATGGCATTGCATACTTGGTGGTTGATTCACTTATTGCGACAATGGGCGGCGTTGAAAGTTTTGAAGAAGATGAGGATAACAATCCTCCTAGCGTGATGCTGAACTCTCGGGCTGCCATTGTCTCAGGTGAGCTTATTCCTTCGCTTCCTTGGGTTGGTGATAGTGATGTTATTATGTCCCCTCGGACACGGATGGTCAGGGGGTTACTTGCAATTTTAAGGGCTTGTACAAGAAACAGAGCCATGTGTTCAATGGCTGGTTTATTAGGAGTTCTCTTGAGGTCAGCAGAGAAGATATTTGTTCACGATGTTGATTCTCCGCTGCAAATGAGATGGGATGGAACTCCCTTATGTTATTGCATTCAGTACTTAGCAGGACATTCACTCAGTGTTATTGATTTGCACAAATGGTTTCAAGTCATTACCAGAACACTTACCACTGTATGGGCAACCCGTTTAATGATTGCACTGGAGAAGGCAATGGGTGGAAAGGAGTCGAGAGGCCCAGCATGTACTTTTGAGTTTGATGGTGAAAGTTCGGGTTTGCTTGGTCCGGGGGAGAGCCGTTGGCCTTTTACCAATGGGTATGCGTTTTCAACGTGGATTTACATTGAATCATTTGCAGATACATTAAATGCAGCAACCGCTGCTGCAGCAATTGCTGCTGCTGCCGCTGCCAAGTCGGGAAAATCGTCTGCCATGTCAGCTGCTGCTGCTGCCAGTGCCCTTGCGGGTGAAGGCACGGCACACATGCCACGACTGTTCAGTTTCTTATCTGCTGACAATCAGGGGTTTGAGGCATATTTCCATGCACAGTTTTTGGTGGTTGAAAGTGCGAGTGGAAAGGGTAAGAAGACTTCTTTACACTTTACGCATGCATTCAAGCCGCAGTGCTGGTACTTTATTGGTTTAGAGCATACTTGCAAGCAGGGGATGCTTGGTAAAGCAGAGAGTGAATTAAGATTATATATTGATGGATCGTTGTACGAAACTCGACCTTTTGAGTTCCCTCGGATCTCTAAGCCGCTTGCGTTTTGCTGCATTGGGACAAACCCTCCTCCTACAATGGCTGGTTTACAACGTCGACGCCGGCAATGCCCTTTGTTTGCTGAGATGGGGCCTGTTTATATTTTTAAGGAACCAATTGGCCCAGAAAAGATGTCACGTTTGGCTTCTAGGGGAGGAGATGTGCTTCCTTCTTTTGGTCATGGGGCAGGGCTGCCATGGCTAGCAACAAATGTGCATGTGCAAAATATGACAGAAGAAAGTACATTATTGGATGCAGAGATAGGAGGATGCATTCACCTTCTCTATCACCCCAGTTTGCTGAGCGGGCGATTTTGTCCAGATGCTTCCCCTAGTGGTGCAGCAGGTCAAATTATTTATATTTTTATCAATATCTTACAATGAATAATAACCAGACCAAAACTACAATAGTGTTGGGTTGGTCTTTTGCAGTAACAGTAAAAACTATGCTTGAATGCAGAATGAAGGAAAGAAAACAGGGAGAAATAAAATATGACATAAATTTTAACTTTCTTCTTTTGTTTGGATGGGGAGAAATTGGAAAAATAGAAATTTAAAGAAATTTTTTTTCCCTTATTTGAATGAGAAGAAAAGAGGAAGGAAAGGAAAGCGAAGAAGATAAATTTGCTATTTTTCCGTAAAAGTTCAATATAGTTATGGTCCTTCTTTTTTACTCTTGAGGACAATAATTAGACAATTAAATCTCGTCTCGAATTTCTCTCAACTTCTGGAGAGTTTTAAAATGTGATTGGCCCATGGGAAAATCTTCTCCCCCCTTTTCTTTCTTTTTCTCTATCTTTCTTGCTTCCATTCAAAGGAAAACATTTTTCACTCTAATTTTAATTCCTCTTTCCCTCCCTTTTTCTGTCTTTCTAAGCATCTTTTTTTCAAAAGTGGGGGTGTGGCCAGGAATTTTTAATATAAGGCCCGATATGCTGATGATTATTGCATTGACGCCTCCTATTTATTCTATCTTAGTACGTTTGGTAGTGTGCTCGACCTCATGCTTCATGGTTTGGGTACCCTGGTGGTGTGTACTTGTCTTTTTCTTATTTAGTTACCTATCACTGTTATTTTCAGGCATGCTTCGACGACCAGCTGAGGTTCTTGGGCAGGTACATATTGCTACTCGAATGCGACCAATGGCAGCTTTGTGGGCCTTTGCCTATGGGGGTCCTATGTCCTTACTTCCACTGACAGTTAGTAATGTGGATAAAGATAGCCTGGAGCCACAACAAGGAAATCCTCATTTGTCTTTGGCTACCACAGCTCTCGCTGCTCCAATATTCCGAACTATTTGCTTGGCTATCCAACACCCTAGTAACAATGAAGAGTTCTGTCGTACCAGAGGGCCAGAGGTTCTATCAAGAATCTTAAACTATCTATTACAAACTTTGTCTTCACTTCATGCTGGAGAGGAAAATGGTGTGGGAAATGAGGAACTTGTTGCTGCCATATTATCCTTGTGTCAATCCCAGGAGAAGAATTATGCACTTAAGGTGCAGCTTTTCAGTACATTGCTTTTGGACCTAAAAATTTGGAGCTTATGCAACTATGGGCTACAAAAGAAGCTTCTTTCATCACTTGCAGACATGGTTTTCACAGAGTCATCAGTAATGCGAGATGCTAATGCCATTCAGATGCTTCTAGACAGTTGCAGAAGATGTTACTGGACAATTCGTGAAAAGGATTCAGTGAATACCTTTTCTCTTTCACATAATGAGACCAGACGTCCTGTGGGTGAAGTGAATGCTTTGGTTGATGAACTCTTGGTCATTATTGAACTCCTAGTAGGAGCAGCACCCCCTTCATTGGCTTCAGAGGACGTTCGTTGTTTACTGGGGTTCATGGTTGACTGCCCACAGCCTAATCAGGTATAATTACTCTGCTAAAGGTTGATTTATAGGTCGAATGTATTTATGGTGTTGCTACTTGCTCCGAATGGTTTACTTCTCCTACAACCCCCTCCCACCTCCCAAATTAATTGCATTTTTACTTGGAAATTGTAATGTTGGATCATCATATGCAGGATATATTGTAGTATGGCATACAATACTTGCTTACTCTGATGATTTGCTACTCTAGTATGACCTAATGAAGCTCTTGTGAGACATATTTGCTCCATTCTTTTATCCTCTATAGTTTTGCCGGGCACCTCAAGTCGTCCATATGGAGGAAATAGTGCTCATGGTCCAAATTGTCCAAACACCTGGCCATTTTCTTGTGCCATTGGATGTGCACAATAGGGTCCACACCTTAACCAAAATTGGCATTATTATTTTTTTTTGGAGAGGAGAGAGGGGAAAGGAGGGGGTGGGGGGTGGTATTGGCTTGATGAACACTATATTATTCTTACAGGTTTATGAGACTTGAAGACAGCCTTTTAAAAATATGACGAGAAAGCTCGCTCAACCAAAATGTGTAGTAGATAACCAAATCCTTTCATTTACCTCATTCAGCTTTTCCTAAATTGTATACCACATTAGTACGTTACTAACAAGTTTCTCTGTTATTGATTATTTTCGAGTAGCTTAAAGCATCCTGCAACTCTGTTTAAGGAAATATTTCTGCATGAATTTGAATTCTCTTTGATCCCGGCTTCTCACTTTAAAATTAGAATAATCAAGGAAGAAAAGGTGTTTGGATATATTATGCTTGATAGTTCATGTTGATATATGACTCTAAAAGGCGTTTGTCTTCCAGGTTGCAAGGGTATTGCATCTGATTTACAGGTTAGTGGTACAGCCAAATAAATCAAGAGCACAAACGTTTGCAGAGGCGTTCATAGATTCTGGTGGTATAGAGACTCTTCTAGTTTTGCTGCAACGAGAAGCCAAAGCTGGTGACTATACTATTCCAGAATCCATGACCAAGGATGACGAGATTTTGTTTGTACAGGGACCCGAGCCAGTTAGTAACACTGATGCTTATGAACAAGTTCAGGATGATGAATCATCAGAGGGAAATGACCTCAATTTGCATGAGAAAATTGGTGAATCTACCCCTAACAGAGGTAGCAGTCCTCTTGCAGTTTCCCCTGATTTGAAAATTGGAAGAACGACTTCTGCTGCAGAAAGTACTTTTACAAAGAATCTGGGTGGTATAGCTCTATCCATCAGTGCTGACAATGCAAGGAATAATGTTTACAATATCGACAAAAGTGATGGGGTGCTTGTGGGCATCATTGGGCTCTTAGGTGCTTTAGTTGCATCAGGGTATTTGAAATTTGGTTCACGAGCATCGTCGGATATGGCAAACACTCTTCTAGGTAGTGCACTGAATGATGGAGGTGGTACCATGTTTGAAGATAAAGTGTCTTTGTTACTTTTTGCTTTACAGAAGGCTTTCCAAGCAGCGCCAAACAGGCTTTTGACCAGCAATGTATATACAACATTGTTGGGGGCGTCGGTAAGACATTCTTTTATTTCAGTGCTCATATGTTGCCATGGGTTTGTTTACTAAGAACAATTTTGTGACTTAAAATAATCTCTACATGCCTTTCATATGATTTCTTGGCTAAAACTTTTGGCCAGAAATGGGAGTAGTAATAATTGAGTTCATTATTAATGATATACGGATATATATATATATATATATATATATATATCCTAGTTCTTTCTTTCTTTTAAAAGTCTGTTATTTTTGTTTTGTGGCTAAGGATTGTACGAAGTCCCTTTCCAATTATATGGTTCATGCTCTGTTTACCTCTTCATAGGTGTTTCTTGGGCATATAGTTTAAGCTGAAAAATCAGGGCTTATGAACAAGTCAAACATTGTAGTTTGCATTTCTGCTGCACCTGTTCTCTGTGTTGGTTTTTCCAGCCCATGATGAGTTCTCCAAAGTCTATTAGGAATTGTAGTCTTAGGATTAAATTGTTTACCCAATTGGTGTTGTTTTCCCAATTCAAGTTGTTTACCCGATTTAAGTTATTTACCCAATTTAAATTGTTTACCCCATTGAACTTGTTTTCCCAATTGGAGTTGGTTTCTTATTTGGAGAAGGATTCACAATTAGATTCCAATTAGGATTACTAATGCTTATTGAAGAAGACCTTTATTATGTCTATATAATGGGGTTATTGCACTAGGTTTGATTTGGAGCAAAACAGGTATACCACTCAAGGCATGAGAGTGAGAGAATACTGTAAGGGCAAAGTGTATGCGAGAGAAAAGAAAAGAGATAAAGAGTGTATTTCTTGTTCTTGTTCTTTGAGGTTTTTCGTCAAGTCTTAATCCTAGAAGCTTGGCAAGATTATTCGTTGTACTCATTATTGATATAGTGAAAGATTGTTGTTGCTGCCCTATGGACGTAGGGTTATATAGCCGAACCATGTAAATTCTTGGTGTTATTATCTTGATTGTTTTGTTTTCGATTTCCAAGTTTGTTATGTTTTTCCATTCTTAAACGCGATATTCACAAGTGGTATTAGAGCTGGGTTTGGCTGATATCCGTTTAGAATGGAGGTAGCACCATGATGAAACTCACCCGCTCCAACATGGTTACTTGGAAAGCAAGAATGGGGGACATGCTTTATGTAAAGATCTCCATGAGCCTATTGAAGGTGTTAAGAGCAAGGAGAAACGCAAGAATGGGGGACATGTTAGCATGTTCAGTGAAGAAACAAGGAGAAAAGCTTCAGGTGCAGATGCTAGGCACCTCTTTGTCACATAGAAAAGAGGCAGAAATTCTGGTGAGACGAGATTCAGTGGTGACTGCCACTATTGTGGGAAAAAGGGTCACATGAAGAAGCATTGTCGTAAATGGAAAAAGGAACAAAAGGATGGGAACAATACTGTAGGTATTGTGAGTTGTGACTTACGATGTAGAGCTTCTTTAATGCAGATAAGCGATGATTACTGGCAAAGAAGTCTATAATTGCTTTTGCCAATGAAGATGAGAGTTAGTCTCTTAGGAATTAGTCTTAGAGGATTAAATTGTTTACTCAATTGGAGTTGTTTCCCAATTGAAGGTTAACCAATTTAAGTTGTTTACCCAATTTAAATTGTTTACCCAATTGAAGTTGTTTTCCCAATTAGTGTTGGTTTCTCAATTGGAAAAGAATTCATAACTAGATTCCAATTAAGATTAAAAATCCTTAGTGAAGAAGACCTTTATTATGTGTATATAAAGGGGCTATTGCACTAGTTTTGATTTGGAACAAAACAATAAATTGTATACCACTAAGGAGTCAGAGTGAGAGAACACTGTAAGAGCGAAGTGTGTGCGAGAGAAAAGAAAAGAGATAAAGAGTGTATTTCTTGTTCTTGTTCTTTCAGGTTTTTTGTCAAGTCTTAATCCTAGAGGATTGGCAAGATTGTTCGTTATACTCATTATTGATATAGTGAAAGATTCTTGTTGCTGCTCCGTGGACGTAGGCACATATAGCCGAACCACGTTAATTCTTGGTGTTATTTATCTTGGTTATTTTGTTTTTGATTTCCGATTTTGTTCTGTTTTTCCCATTCTTAAACATGATATTCACAACACTATGGTGCAGCTTCACTTCAGATAATTACTTTTATTCTTGCATCATTGGAACTTTAGTCTTGTGTGGTATTGATTGACATTTTGGTCTTATGATCATGTTATGGTATACTTATGCTTTAGTCTGTTGTCATTGTCATGGTTAAACTTCCCTCTAATTTGTAATTTCTCTTTATTTTTGCGTGATGAGTTGATACATTACATAGTTCAACTGAATCTTTGTGATAATTTTTCTATACTTTTGTTGTTAAACCCGATCAACGACGTTGTGTCCAAGACTTGAGGTTTTATAAGGTCACAATGTCATTCAGCTCATTGTATTATTGAGTACACTTTTCGTGTTCCTTTTAAACTAGAAGCGCATTCTTTTTATTTTTGGTGTGGAAATCCTCTTAAAAGTAAATTCCAAGGGGGAAGATTGGTTTCATTTTATAATTTTTTGCTCATTGAAAAAGCCATACATTTATGTAAAGTTGTTCTCTTTTTCTCTTTAGATCAATGCCTCTTCAAGTGATGACGGAATGAACTTCTACGATTCTGGTCATCAATTTGAACATATGCAACTTCTTTTGGTTCTCCTGCGTTCACTTCCATATGCATCCAAGGCTTTGCAAAGCCGAGCGCTACAGGTATCACTTTTTAACTTTCCCACGATGCTCTGTCTATCTACTATATGTGAATTTGTTGAATCAAAAATATATGTGGTAATTGGAATGAACAAAACTTTATGCAATTTTCATAAATAAGAATTTTTAGGCTCTTAGATTTAATGTAGTAGGAGGCTAGAATTGTTTACACGCTGTATTTCTTGCTTCCATGGGTTTCTTTGTTGAATCCTCGTCGATATTCTTTCATATTCTGAGATTCTTCTTTCTATATGATTTCAGGATCTTCTGTTTTTGGCTTGCAGTCATTCAGAAAATAGAAGTAGTCTGACACAAATGGAGGAATGGCCTGAATGGATTCTTGAGATTCTTATCTCTAACTATGAGGTAACATCTTCTACCATTATCTTAATATAATCACTTATCATTTACATCAGGCATTGCAATTATAGTGTGATATATACCACAAGCCTTTTCGGTCAGTGGTTCATCTCTTCTTTTGTTAAAGCGGGGTTTTGGCTCAAGCCATGGTGGAATATAATATAGGAAGGGGGAGCACTATCCCTCACTTTGTAAGCCAGCCCCAAACTACCTTCCGACTCTAATTAAATCTTTGTAATATGACATTTAGTTCAGGTTAGAAAGTTTTAAGTTTCAGTGAAATGTGATCTTACCTATTTTAATCGATTGAAACTTTGAAGATAACCTAACTCCATGTTACCGCTATTGTATTACCTGATTTTACAGATGGGTGCAAGCAAACATTCTGATTCTGCCAGCTCAGGAGATATAGAGGACCTTATACACAATTTCCTGAGTATCATGTTAGAGCATTCAATGCGCCAGAAGGATGGCTGGAAGGTTAGGTTCATGTGTGTATATATATTATTCTCATCATTTTACTTGGTTGACCTTGTATGTTATTGGCTTCTGTGTAGGTGATTTTTAGGTCCTGCATATAAATTTTAGATTTTTGCCCGCTCATATCAGTCCTCTGTTTCATATAGTTTCTACTACATGTCTTATCATTGTCAGCATTTGACGTAATGTTTACTGGGAGTGGGATTCTCAACCGTGTATATTGAAATGAATTCCTGATTTGTACGATAGAGATTCTGTGATTTCGAGCAAAGAGAAGCTGATCTTTCGAAATGCTAGATTTTCAAGCACACTGATGATCTGGTTAATCAACATACTTTTCTTCATGTGTGAAAGTAATTGACTGTGACTTGGGCCAAAAAAGTAATACTGCAAAAAGGAAGTAATAGATGAAGTTAGATACCTGAAATGGAAATTTACTCAAATAAACTCAACTAAAGAGGACTACATGTCTATTTTCCTGGATAACTTCGGGTCTATCTTTTCTGCTTAACCTTGTTTAAAATGTTTGGTCTACTATCACCCTTTTAAGTTCATATTTTCATTTTTCAGCCTCTCCATGCTTTGCTCTTCAGCAGCTCACTCTAGTTCAGTGGTCCATTAATCCCCGGTCTTAGGTCTTTATTGCTTGCTGTTGCACTTCTCCCCATTCTAACTAGAATCCTTACTTAAAAAATTGAACTCACCAAATTATTTGTCGAACGCGACCCAAGTTTGTGATTGACAAATGGGATTGATTTGGCTGTATTGATGCCTTGCCATATTGGAAATGTTGTTATTTAGCCTTTTTTAGGAATTCTGTTCATTCTCCATATCCTTACTGTGCTTTTAGCAATGTAGGTTAAGTGTGGTGAGGTTTAGAATCAGTTATTTTCTAATTGATCAGTCCCATTCATGTTGTTATCACTTCCCCTCTACAGGATATTGAAGCTACAATTCATTGTGCAGAGTGGCTTTCCATTGTGGGTGGCTCGAGCACTGGAGACCAACGAGTTAGGTATTATGTTATCTCTGGCTAAACCAATGTGAAGTTTTCCTGTAATATAAATGATTTGTCAAGTTTCATGAAAAAGTCTTTCAGTTGCTGTTGAACATTTGTACTTTGGCTCCAAATGTGACAGCATGCTTTTCTGTTTACACAGGACAACATGCTTATTCAGCCCTTCAAAAAAAAAAAAAAAATCTTTTTTTTTTCATGAAAAAGAAAACTTGCGTCTGAATTGAAAACAAAGAATAATAACATTTAGTGGTTTTTGCTCTCGTTGGAATCCTAATGGTTTATTGATTGCCTAAACTGGTTGTTATTTTTATTTTTGAAAGACGTGAAGAATCGTTGCCCATATTTAAAAGGAGGCTTTTAAGTGGTTTGTTGGACTTTGCAGCTAGAGAGCTCCAGCTTCAGGTATCCTTCGTATATTATTCTTTTACCTTTTGCATCCTCTTTGGCCTCCAATTTCCAATTTTTTTTTTAATGAAATTCATTGGAACCTCGCACTCACTCTCTCTCTCTCTCTGTTATCCTTGTTTACTTCCCATGTACTAGGGTTGTATCCCATTTTGCAGTTTTAGTTTATGCTTTACTAGTAAGAAAAGAACTATATGCTACGTTTTATTCTAAAAGTTAACCAGTTGAAAAAATAAAACCAATAATATCTATATTGAGCTTTTCTTTTTACCACAGACTCAAGTTATTGCTGCAGCATCTGCTAATGTGGCAGCGGAGGGTTTATCACCAAGCGATGCTAAGGCAGAAGCAGAGAATGCTGCTCAGCTTTCTGTTGCTTTGGTAGAGAATGCAATTGTGATACTAATGCTTGTCGAGGATCATTTACGGTTGCAGAGCAAACTATCCTGTGCTTCACGTGCACCAGATAGTTCTCCATCTCCCCTTTCCCTTGTCTCTCCAATGAATAACCACTCAAATTCGCTGAGTACAGTTGTGGAAGATTCCATTGGAGCTTCGGGTGAACGCAAGTCATTATCTAATGATTCTGGACTTCCTCTTGATGTACGTTGACAGCATTTGCACAAAACACATGAGCAAATGTTCACTCTTACTCTTACTCGTATATAATATTTCTCCATACATTATATTTTCCATTTAGTTCTCCATTTATAGTGTTTATTTTCTCGCCCACCCTCATAAATAAATGAAAAAAAAAAAAAAAAAAAACGCATCAAAATGTTGGTGCCTTTAACTGGGTTCTCATAATCATACTCTTAGCAACTGCTCCTCTTATACCTTTTGGTTTAATTGTGAATTTTTTTTCCACTTCTTTTCTTTCTGCTGCGTATTCATAGTTAATATCTTATAGTCGTAAGTTTATAAACTTTATATTCCATCTTCTTAGCTAATTTACCATTTTAAATTGACTTTTGTATTTCTTCTCGTTTTTGTCCTTTTGTTTTTCTCGTTCAATAATCTTTATTCATGGGGCTTACGCTTGTAAGATTTTGATCAGCTTCTTGCGTCGATGGCTGATGCGAATGGTCAAATATCTGCAGCAGTGATGGAACGTCTTACTGCTGCAGCAGCAGCTGAGCCTTATGGATCTGTTTCCTGTGCTTTTGTATCATATGGAAGCTGTGTTATGGATTTAGCTGTGGGGTGGAAGTATAGGAGCAGATTGTGGTATGGTGTTGGTCATCCATCAAATACAGAAGCCTTTGGTGGTGGTGGCAGTGGTCGGGAATCTTGGATGTCTGCACTGGAGAAGGATGCAAATGGAAACTGGATTGAGCTTCCTTTGGTAAAAAAGTCTGTGGCAATGCTCCAAGCATTATTATTAGATGATTCGGGACTTGGTGGAGGACTTGGCATAGGAGGTGGATCTGGTACTGGAATGGGAGGGATGGCAGCACTCTACCAGTTATTGGACAGTGACCAACCATTCTTATGCATGCTCCGAATGGCTCTTCTTTCAATGAGGGAAGAAGATGATGGTGAAGACAATCTGCTTATGAGGAATGTAAGTATAGATGATGTGAAATCAGAAGGGAGGCAACCACGCTCAGCATTGTTGTGGAGGTGATTTAACCAAAACTTATTTTCATTCTTTATTGTTTAGAACTAGATTGTAAACCCCCTCCCTGTTTCCTTTAAGTTTGATAGGAATCAAGAGTGGAATCCATGGTTTCTCAATTTGCTGGTTGCTGGCCTTAAAATTGACTATGAAAATTTATTCTTGGATAACGATTACATTCATTACATGCTACTTTGAATGGAGAAGCATTCTTCAAAATAAAAGATTCCAGAGATAATGGGTAGTAACCAGTCAGAGTTAAGCATTGCTCTGAATGAATTGATCCTCCAATGGCCCGTTGTGAAACTGCAAGGACCCTGTATATTGTGGATTCTAGCTTCATGTTTGGAACTCTGAATCATATGAGTTGTGAAAAGAAAACTCTAAGGAGGCTGTTTAATTCACTATTACATATATGGCTACATCCTATTGTTCGTTTCCTCATGTTACACATATGAGACTCTTGAATCATTACTGCTAATTCTTGTTACTAATTTGCAGTGTGCTTTCACCTGTTCTGAACATGGCGATTTCTGATTCCAAGAGACAGAGAGTGTTGGTTGCTTCCTGTGTTCTTTATTCTGAGGTTAGTTTTCTTTCAGTTTTGCGATGTTATAGTGAATTGGTAATACATGTTACCAATTAGCTTATGCTCTTATCAAATTTTAACTTTAATCGACTTTCATACTATCATAGTCTTGATATTGCTTTCCATCCACATACTCTTTGAAAGCTGGTTTTATGGTTGTCTTGTTTACCAATTATTGTTTGTTTCTGTTACCTTGTTTGTTTCCTCGTTCTTGCAGTTGTATCATGCTGTTGGCAGGGATAGAAACCTCTCCGTAAAAAGTACCTTGAAGCCATTGTACCACCATTTGTTGCTGTTTTGAGGAGGTGGCGGCCACTTTTGGCTGGCATTCACGAACTAGCAACTGCTGATGGTTTCAACCCTCTTACAGTTGAAGATCGTGCATTGGCTGCTGATGCCCTGCCAATAGAGGTTTGTCTATTTAATATCAATTTGTGTTCTCTGTAGACTTGATTAATTTTTCAGGCACTTAGAATTTGGTGGTTGAAATTTAATGTTGGGGGAGGGGTGCACTTTCTAGGTTTTCTTCTTGCAACTTTCATTTGTGCACCTCATCATTGGCTTATTATGACCCTTTTGATGTCTCTTCAGAACTGAAGCTATTCGCTTTTTCGTGGAGTCCATTGTCTTGAATCTATTGCTTCACTATTTGATACATTTTGACCATATTTCTTTCAGGCTGCTCTCGCTCTGATATCTCCAGCTTGGGCTGCTGCTTTTGCATCACCGCCTGCTGCAATGGCACTGGCGATGATAGCTGCTGGTGCCTCTGGTGGAGAAACTCCAGCTCCTACAACAACTTCTCATCTTAGGCGTGACTCCTCATTGCTCGAGCGGAAAACTACTAAGCTTCACACATTTTCAAGTTTTCAAAAACCTTTGGAGCTGCCTAACAAATTACCAGCTCTACCCAAGGACAAAGCTGCTGCAAAAGCTGCTGCCTTGGCTGCAGCTCGTGATCTTGAACGTAATGCCAAAATTGGTTCTGGGAGGGGTCTCAGTGCTGTAGCAATGGCCACATCTGCACAGCGGAGAAGTGCTAGTGACATGGAGCGGGTGAAGAGATGGAATGTTTCTGAAGCAATGGGAGTTGCCTGGATGGAATGTTTGCAGCCAGTTGATACGAAATCTGTCTACGGAAAAGATTTTAATGCTTTATCGTATACGTTTATTGCTGTACTTGTTGCAAGTTTTGCTTTAGCAAGAAACATCCAACGATCTGAGGTTTCACCTGTTCTTGTCCTCATAGATTCTTTTACATATTGAGGTAGGATATCTGATTTGTTTTCTTTTCTTGCTCTCCAGGTTGACAGACGCTCTCAAGTTGATCTTATTAGTCGTCATCGTTTGGGCAATGGAGTTCGTGCATGGCGCAAACTCATACATTGCTTGATTGAGATGAAGTGTCTTTTCGGGCCATCTGGAGATCAGTTATGCAAGCCTGCACCTGTATGTTTTGCAATAACTGCTTTTGTTTTACTGGATTTTTAAATTTTGTTACATTCGGATTAGTTTCTCGTGTTCCGTTTGGAACAGTGGTTTTCTGACTGATTATATATTTTATGAATTTTTTTGTTTGTATTTATGGCTCTTGCAACCTACACTATCTTTTGGGGTTTATCTAAAACTATATTTTCTGAAGATATTATAACTGTTTTGTAGGTTTTTTGGAAGCTAGATTTTATGGAAAGTTCAACTAGGATGAGACGATGTGTAAGGAGGAATTACAAAGGTTCTGATCATTTTGGTGCTGCTGCCAATTTCGAGGATCATAATAAGATGAAAGAACGAGAAAATGGCATACATTCCTCAAATGCTCCTATTCTGGCAGCAGAAGCAATAGCTGTGGAAGCTGTCAATGAAGATGATGAACAGGGGGAAATTGATAATTTGGATGGCAGAACCCCTAGTGAAGAACAAAGTGGGGAGAATCAGCCACATCTGTCTGAAACAGCCGAGCAAAGCCTGCAGTCAACTATGGAATTTGGCGATGCACAAGTTTCTTGTGAACCAGACTTGGGAGAAAGTTCATCAGCAGTGGCGCCTGGATATGTTCCAAGTGAGCTTGATGAAAGAATTGTTCTTGAGCTTCCTTCATCGATGGTTCGACCATTGAGGGTCATACGCGGAACTTTCCAGGCAAGTCTAAATGTGTGATGCTGGACAATTGTTTTTCCAAAGGATCGAAATAAATGATGACATTTTTGTTGTTTTCGTTCTAATGTATCATAATTAGTTACTGAAACTTTATTCTTCAGTGCTTTAGCTTAATCTTGTATATTGATATTTGCTAATTAGTTTTGGCTTATGTGTCTTCTTTCAGGTGACAAGTAGGAGAATAAATTTTATAGTTGATAACAGTGAGGCCAATGGTGCAGTGGATGGATCAGATTGCACCGAAATGAAAGACCAAGAAAAGGATCGCAGTTGGACAATGTCTTCCCTTCATCAAATATATAGCCGAAGGTGATGTCGAACTTGATTTGCATGAGTATCAGTGTAGTTTAAATTAACGTAAATGATGAGTATTTCCTATCTTATATCTTCCTTCTTTTTTTGTTACAGATATCTTCTTAGACGAAGTGCTCTGGAGCTGTTTATGGTTGATCGTTCGAATTTCTTCTTTGATTTTGGGGTAACTCTATGACAATATGTCAATTAAGATTATATCTTTGTTATTACTATCATAATTGGAGGCATTTTGGTTGTTTTTAACCCTAATGAATCTCCTGTTGACCAACCCTTTTTGTTGGTGATTTAATTTGCGTCCCACTATTATTTCCTCAGAGTACTGATGGACGAAGAAATGCATATCGAGCCATTGTTCAAGCACGACCTCCTCATTTGAATAACATTTATCTGGCAACTCAGGTTTTCACCATGCTATTCCTATAAGACTGGAATTTACTAGCAGTTTGCGTTAGTGTTTGTAGCCTCAGTAACCAGAATACCACTGTTTAGGAATCCATTGATTGTTGTGTGCATGTATGTGTACACCTGCACGAATAGTTTGATTGGTCACCTATTATCGTTATATGTTGGTCATGCTTTCTCATCCTAGAGTTAATCATGCTTTCTCATCCTACAGTTAATCATGAATAGAATTCTCCTATCCATCTCACATCAAGTGATGTGTTATCAAACTTATTATTGAGATGTGTGCCTAACAAATTCAAAGAGCTACTGTGCATTCATCTGTATTATTTCTCTTTAGAACATACATTAAATTAGTTACTGTGGAGACCTGAACAACTTTCTGTCTTAATTTTTTCTATACATCCTAGAGCATAGGAATTGAAGTTTTATGCTTGGTAGATGTGGACGTTTCTATCCTGGATGGTATTTAATACAAGAGTTCATATCTTAATTTGTGTTCATTTAGAACTTATATGAGTTGATATTTTATTATAGAGACCCGAGCAACTTCTAAAGAGAACACAACTTATGGAGCGTTGGGCGAGGTGGGAGGTATGACTTCTGATTGAAATTCTACTTATCATTAACAATGTGTTTTTTTACCTATGCTTCTTGTTTTTCTTGTTTTTATAACATATACTCTCTGAAATAAACGATAACTAGTAGAATTACAACCTTTGTGCAGATCAGCAATTTCGAATATCTAATGCAGCTCAATACACTGGCTGGGCGTAGTTATAATGACATCACGCAGGTGGGATATTCTGGATAATTTTGTATTATATGTGTGTTTTATACTGTTTATCTGCCCTTCACATTTCTTTTTTATTTCTTTCAGTATCCTGTTTTCCCTTGGATCCTTTCTGATTACAGTTCAAAGAGATTGGATCTTGCTGACCCTTCTTCCTATCGAGATCTTTCAAAGGTGGGATCTTTAGAATTCTGCATCCATTTGTTTTAGATTTGTACACCCTGATGTTAATGACCCTTTTATGTATCCCCACAGCCGGTTGGTGCATTAAATGCTGATCGTCTGGAAAAGTTTCATGAGAGGTATTCCAGCTTTGAGGATCCAGTCATACCGAAGTTCCATTATGGTTCTCATTATTCCAGTGCTGGAACAGTAGGTTCTTTTCATTTTGTCTTTCAATATTTGTCATGTTTCGTCTTTATAGTGGTTGTTGGCAGACTTATCAGATGATTCTTTAAAAGATGCTGATAAGTGTTTTATGCATATTTATTATTTTGTTTACTACATCCTCTTGATACGCGGCCCTTGTTTGAACTATTGGTTGTTCTTTTATTTTCACTTCCTGGTGGTTGTCTAATTTAAATGCAACTATGCCACTACAACATTATTGGTTGCTGGTGGCACTTGCCAAAAAGTAACTGCTTTCTTCCTATCAAAGCGAAAAGGGATAAAGGGGCAACTGATTTGTCTTCATGATAGATGCTAGAGAAGTCGGCCTTTGTGAAACCCAGTTAACAGTGCTTATGCATCATGAATATCAAGTCAGGAACCTCTTCTAAATGCTAACATACTCGAATTCCCTTTATAGGGCTCCACTTAAGCTGTGGCTAGTCAATAGAATGGGTGCTAGTATATAGAGGGGATTTTGTGGAAGAGCTGCAGGATAAAGTTTAGGTTTTACACCTTACTTGGGCCTCTGTACCGGTTGAATTTAGGAATGTAACTCTTGAAGCGATTTTATAGATTCGTAGGCTCTTTCGCAAAATGTTTATAGCACAGAGATTGTAAGGATTAGGGATGTTTAGCTGTGGTATTTTGTTGCTGTGGTAGACTCCTTGTATTTGGAGGTGTACTTTTCAATTTCTTGTTTGTGGATAAAAAGTTCTCTTATTCCCGGAGAAAAAGCAGTTGTTAATTTGACTTTTTCTAACCTGGCATACATGACTGTCTACTCTACTCAGGAAAGGACTTCAGTGCAATTTTGACTTCGTTATTATATTATGACTTTTTGTTTTTACATTGAAGCCAATATCCAATACTCTTTTGGCTAGATAAATTAGATTTTTGAAAATTATTCTCTAGTTTTCTGGTGTTTTTATTTATACTGGTAATTATTTTATTACAGGTTCTATATTACCTTGTTAGAGTTGAACCTTTTACAACTCTTTCAATTCAACTGCAAGGCGGAAAATTCGATCATGCAGATCGAATGTTTTCAGATATTGCAGCTACTTGGAATGGAGTCACTGAGGACATGAGCGATGTGAAGGAATTGGTATGGTGTCACCAATTTCATAAAAGTTTAATTTTACCAAATTAGATGCAATGATTATTTATTTCATTTACAGAGTGATTGCTTGTAGCAGTCAATAAGACTTTGATTTGGTTCATTCATTTTTGTATCTTAGGTTCCTGAGTTATTCTACCTCCCGGAGATGTTAACCAATGAAAATTCAATCGATTTTGGTATAACACAAACAGGTGGACTACTCGGTAGGTCCAAAAGTACACTGTGTGTGTGAAATTGATAGATTGTTGTCAATTATACTGGTTTGATTGTTTTGCTTTTCATTTTACATGTCAGATTCTGTAAAAATTCCACCTTGGGCTGAAAACCCAATTGATTTCATCCATAAGCATCGGAAGGCTCTAGAAAGTGAGCATGTATCTGCGCATTTGCATGAATGGATTGATCTCATATTCGGGTAGTTTTTTTCAATCTTATTTTGTTTTTTGTTTGTTTCACACATATATTTTGTATCTACCACTTTTTTGTTTCATTTGGTTTTTTACTTTTATAAGTTGATCACAGCTCTAGAGTGTCTTTATATATCAACTTTGAGTGTTTCATTTTTGAAACTGTTATATTCATTAATAGATTTGAATATACAGGTATAAGCAGCGGGGCAAAGAAGCTATAATAGCAAATAATGTTTTCTTTTACATTACCTATGAAGGGACGGTGGATATTGATAAGATCTTAGACCCAGTAAGTCTGGTTTCCTATAGCATCTGTATGTTTTTATCCATTATTGTTTGATAATTTCTTTCAATAATTTTTTTCCCCCTGTGCCAAAATCAGGTACAACAGCGTGCAACACAGGACCAGATTGCATACTTTGGGCAAACACCATCCCAGCTGCTTACCATCCCTCACTTGAAGAGGTTGCCATTAGCAGATGTTCTTCATTTACAGGTACCATTCTTTCGGGAAACAAGAAACATAGCGGAACCTTTCAGATTGTTTATTTTATTTGTGGAAATTATCCAATCTCACATTATATTACATTTTGGGTAACCAATGAGGATTTGATTTCTTATGAAAATATCATGTGTGTGTATATATATATATTTTTTATTTTTTTTTCTTTCTTTTGATGAAAGATCATTATGATTTATTTTTGAATGTCAGACCATCTTCCGGAACCCAAAAGAAGTCAAACCATATGCTGTTTCTGCTCCTGAGCGCTGCAATCTTCCTGCAGCCGCCATTCATGCTTCTTCAGATGCCATCATTATTGCTAATGTAAATGCACCAGCAGCAAATGTTGCAGAACATAAGTGGCAGCCAAACACTCCAGATGGCCAGGGTATGCCTTTCCTCTTTCAACATGGAAAGGCTACAGCAGGCTCAACTGGTGGAACATTTATCCGTATGTTCAAAGGACCAGCTGGATCTAGTTCTGATGAATGGCAATTTCCACAGGCGCTAGCATTTGCTGCATCTGGAATTACAAGCTCAGCTATAGTTGCCATAACATGTGATAAAGAAATAATCACTGGTATGTGTTCATTTTCTTGCCTTAGTTTTCACTGCTTTGTTCTATCATGTAAAATTTGACAATGTTTATGTTTTGGTTTAAAGGTTTTTTCTTCTTCATAATTTAAAGAGTGAAAATATGTGAGAGATGTGAGGAACAATGAAAGAGTACGACTGAAGCAACAAAATAAAGAGAAATTAATAGGAAAGCTCATCATGAATTAGGGTTTTTAATGCATTCATAGAAACTAATAGGAAAGTTTTGACAGGATTTATTCTTCTTTTGGGCATTTTTATTTGCTATGTATTATTCCTCCGGTTATGTTTTGTTTTAAATTGTATTGTGACTGCACGTGGATGAGTGTTTACCATTCAATACATGTGTGTCTGTCTAAAACGTTTTGTTTTTTCTTTCAAACAAATTAATTTAGTCGACGAGTCTTTTTTAGAGATGGGGGAACTCACTAAGGACATGAAGGAAAACTAGACTTTGCCCTTCCCATTTGTGATTTGTGTGTGCGTTTGAATTGAAACTTATTTTCACATGTGCAGACTGTATAGAGTTGTCAGTTTACAGACAAAGTTTCTTCTTCCTTTCTTAAGATTAAAAGTAATAAACTAGTGTCAAGTCTTTGCCCCATTTTTTTATTCTAAAAATGGCATGTGATACTAGTGCCCGTGCCTAGCCGGGCTTGTGGATTTCTTTTGCTTAACTGTATCATAACTTGTAACTAAGTTTCATCTCCGTTTGAAATAAGTTTGAATCTAAGCGATAGCTTTTGGCTTGTGACTAGGTGGGCATGTGGATAATAGTATTAAGCTAATATCATCAGATGGAGCAAAAACCTTAGAGACAGCTTTTGGGCATTGTGCTCCAGTCACTTACCTTGGGCTCTCACCTGATAGCAACTACCTTGTGACGGGATCCCGAGACACCACTGTATTACTTTGGAGAATACATAGGGCATCTACTTCTCGCTCTAGTAGTATATCAGAGCCTTCTGGTGGGACAGGTACACCGGGCACAGTCAACGGTAATAATTTATCACACATATTGGCAGACAAAAGCAGGAGGCGTCGTATTGAAGGTCCCATACACGTTCTTCGCGGCCACCAGAGGGAAATACTTTGTTGTTGTGTGAGCTCAGATCTTGGGATTGTTGTTTCATGCTCACAATCATCAGATGTTCTCTTGCATTCGACAAGAAGAGGTCGGTTGATTAGAAGGCTGCCTGGTGGGGAGGCCCATGCTGTCTGCCTATCATCTGAGGGAATCGTATTGACTTGGAATAAGACGCTCAATACTCTTAATACCTTTACTCTTAATGGGGTTCCAATTGGCAGAGCTCAACTACCTTTCTCTGGTAGCATCAGTTGTATGGAAATTTCTGTTGATGGATGGAGTGCTTTGATTGGAATAAACACGTCTTTGGAAAACAACGGCTGGGATTTGAAACTGAAGAACACAGAGTTTGAGGATCAGAATTCAGATAAAGCTGAGGAATTGGACGTCCCGTCGCCTTCAATTTGTTTCCTGGATCTTCATACACTAAAGGTATGAGAAATGCAAAAATAGAGTCATTTGCCTTCTGCGTTTGACTTTTTGGTTGGTAGTCTTCTTGTTAATATCTTATGTGTAAACAAACTGACTTGTTTCAATTGTCAATTCCCTTGGAATTTGGGAATGTTTCATATGCTTACATGACCAAAGATCATAGGAGTTTCAGCAATTGGGGATCTTACCATTTCAACGTGATAAAACTTTCTGCAAAACAGGGGTCTTCGCTGGTTTTCTTTTCATTTATTCCTGTCCAATTCAGTTGTTTACTTCTCCGATGTCTTCCCGGGGTTGGATTGTACTTGTTTTTTGTAATGGAAAAATTGAGTAGTCTGTATTTGTGATGTGGCTTTTTCTCTTTATATGTATGTTTGGTTTCGTAAGTGAATTGGTTCCTATTCAGCTCACAAGCCCGTGGTCCTTTACACTGCAGGTTTTTCATGTATTAAAGTTGGGACTCGGACAGGATATCACATCTCTAGCGCTGAACACGGATAATACCAACCTTTTGGTGTCAACTGTCGATAAACAGTTGATAATTTTCACTGATCCGGCTGTAAGTCAAAAACTTGTTTGTCTCGTGTAGTTTTTTATAAGAGTTTCCAGTCTCCTTGGACTTTTATTAAACTCACTTTCATAAAATTGTTAAATCTGGTGCTTATTGCTTGCAGTTGAGCTTGAAAGTAGTGGATCACATGCTCAAGCTCGGTTGGGAAGGCGGTGGACTGAGCCCCCTCATCAAATCATAGTTTTAGGAAAAGGACTACAGAAGATACCCAACACTAGTTACGACGAAGGCATGAACTGCATTGGCATGCTAGTTGCCCCTGTTTTGTAAATCGAGCCAATTCATTCGTCTGCAATTTCGAGCTGTGTTTTGAGTGTAAGATGTGTATTAGGTAACCATCAGAACCCCAGAGTTGCAGGTTATTAGAGTTTGTTGCAGGTTTTGTTTTTTTGACTCGATTGAGTTGTAAGTATGTAGGTTGAGATGACGGGCTCATGTCGATGGAGGCCTCTGGCTGTTCATTTTTGTTCATTGATTTGTTTTGATATTTTAGTGAAAGAAAATATAGAAGTCGTTTTGGAATAGGGCACGAGGACTCTTCATCAAGAGCTATGGAAACATGAATTTTTCTGCGTGTGATCTAATATTTTAGTGGATGTAGTGTTGGTTTATACTCATGCGTCTGGTTTTGAAACTCGTCTCTTAATTTACTGTAATAGTTTTGAACCCTTTTCTCTTCTCCTTAATAATAATAAATTCACAAAAAAAAAAAGACGGAAGAATATTTCTTCATATTTATTCCCTTTCTAATCCCTTCCAAATAAAAAATTATTCTCCACTACCACCTCAATATGAAAGTATAACTCTACATACTTTTTGTGGAAATTTGGTTTAGGCCACAAAAATAATTTTCAATTTCAGTACAAGTTGATGGACATTTCATTTTCTGATATAGGTCAATACAAAAAAAAATATTCCTCAACTTAGGTCAATAAAAAGTAATTTTTCTTCAACCTACTTTACCTCTTCTTTTGATACACAAAAATCAAGGTTTAAAAGGCATTAGGCACTAGTTAGACCGTATGGAAAGATCTAGCGCCGGGGAATTAGGTGAGGCGTACTAAAAAAAATGTATAATAATATGCAAAAACTTAAATTGAAAACTAGAGTGATATATAAAGTACAAAGTAGTAGAACATATTAAAAACATGCTCATCCAAGTATCCAACAAATCTCTTATAATTTAAAAATAAAATAAAATACAAAACGCAAATGATTTATTTTATGTCTAAGTGACAGCTGCGACTTTATGCGATTTTCTTAAATAAATAAAAAAGCAAAATAGTCACATAACAACCCAACCTACCTAGACACACCTTGGTGCACCTCCAACTAGTTGGCCGCTTAGGCAAGTCTAGTGCTCTATTTTATTTTTTAAATACCTTAAAATTAATCGTAGCATTGACTAACCGTGTATTATCTGAGCAGGGCGCGTTTCAAAACATTGACAAAAATAAACGCCACTAATTAACTCAATTCTAATATTGAATCGAATTCTCAATAGCTCCGAATTTAGCAATTTTTAGCCTAATGACTCGGTGGGCCTCAAATACCCCCGAAAACAACAGCCGCCTTGTTGCAGTGATTAGGGTTTACTTTAGACAGAGATAGGACGGAGAAGAGAGAGAGAGAGATGGGTGGTAAAGGAATCAGACGGAGAGAGAAGAATTACAGAGCAGCGCACGGTGGAGGATACACCAGGCTGCCGCCGCCACCTGATTACTCTAAAGCCGACGCCTTGCCCTCTAAGCTTCGCAAACTCCTCGCCTTCACTGCTTCTCATGATCCCAAAGGTTTTTGTCTTCTTCCCGCTTTTCTGAGGAAAATAAATCAATATTATGTTCTTAAATTCTCACTCTTTGATTTTACTTTTGTGAATTTTCAATGGTTTCAGACGATTTGAAGCTCTCAAAAGCTGCTGAAGAAAAAAAGAGGAAAAATGGAGTTGGTGCTGCTGAACCAGTAAGTGCTTTTCTTGTCAATGTGCTTTTGTTTATGGAATTCTGCGTTTAGGGTTTTGGTTGCTAGGTTGGTTGGAACAGTTTGATTAAATTTGAAGCAAGTTTTGGTAATGCAATAGCTAATCCCGTTGAGGTTTAATTTAAGTACTCGTGACTTGCGTATGATTAGGGATGTTTGAATTTGAGTTGGTCACTTTGCATGTTGTGTATAACAAATAAAAAAAAAACAATGGTTATGTGAACAGAAGCCCGAGGATGAAGTCGACTTTGAAACTGGATTTGATGACGAGGGTAATGCTGAGGATTCGGAACATCAACATACGGATGAGAAGAAAAAGAAGAAAAGAAAGAGAAAGCAAGTACAGGACCTTCGGTTTGAAAATGTAGGATTGGAGCAATCAGGAACTCGGCTAAAAAGAAAGGAGCGTAAGAAAAAGTACGTGTTTAACGCCTTATGATCTTCCATCGAATGCGTGTCAATGAATCATATGCAAAAGTGAACAGATTGCAATTTTGCCGGGATATTGTGTCGTTGTAATTTGCAGTGATCATATCAAACACGGTAGCCATATTCTACTGATTAGTGACAACTGACTATGTTTCGTATTCAGGTACTTGGAAGCAAAGAAAAACAAAAAGAAGGGGGGCAAGCCAGAAGAGAATGAAGGCTTCCCTGGACGTGAGGAGATCAGATTTGGAGACGTGGTTCAAGCTCCCCCAAAGTTGGTTGTTCCTAAGGTAGTCATTCTTTATGATACTATGATACAGATTAAAATTATTCAGTTAATTAATAAAAATTCCCCTGCTTTCTAAAGGCGTTGAAGTATGTACAAGATGCTTCTAAGGAGAGGGTTCGAGTCAAGGCAATTGAGGCATACAGGCAGCGCAAAGGATGGAACGCAAGGCCGGGGATTCAACTTCCTCCTCCTGTGACTGGATCATTGTAATCAGCAAAACTGGAATGCATGTTTCTCCTTTTGGCTACTTGCCTGGCAGGTTTTCTGTATCGTAGTTTGCGATTCTACAGGAAACTCTCTTGTGCCTCTGCAATTCTGTAATTTATCCAGCAAGTTTTGATCTAAAAGTGTCCAATAACTTTCGGAAATATGTATCATTCTTGGTTCTTTTGGCTAACTACGTTTACTCATTCTCAAACGTATTGTTTTCTCTCATAAAATATCAAAAATTGTCCCTTGAAAGTGACTCGAGTGCCCGAAATGTGACATTTTTCTACCGACATTTGGATGAAATCCAAAAACCTAATGATAGGCCACCTATCCCACGTTATGTTAGCATTGCTTCGTACTTGTAAGTGAGGAGTTTTGGGTTCAACTCTTCTATCTGGCGAGTTTGATACCAACTTATGGCGGGTTCATTGTGAAGACGGAGACCTGGCCCTGCTCTTCATCCCCAGTAAAATTGGCCTATTTTGAAAAGTTAATAATCCAAAGAAGGCAGTACCAAATTGACAATTCGTAAAAGTTCAGGGGGCTAAACGGTAGTGGATCAAATGGATATTTCATTTCATCTTGATACTTGTACAATATCACTTTAATATAAAAAGGTTGTATACTAAGAGTCTGTTTGTCAACCATTTCGTTTTTTAGGTACAAAAGATGTTACATACCATGTGACATTACACGAAACATCCATACTTGAGTACCAAACCAAATTCAGTCTCTGTGGAAGGCACGAACTTGTAGACCTCCCTTAATGTGAAGATTAATCATCGTCCTGTACGTGACAACTGCGTTCTCATCGCTCAATTTGAACACGAAACAGCTTAAAAAAACAGCCGAGAAGATCTTCAACTGCCTGTAAGCAAACTCCTTTCCGAGACACATTCGCGGTCCGGCCTGTCAACCATCATATTATGCAAAGAAGTTAGAGGGATTTAGACATTTCCTGGATGAAGGTTAGTTTCAAAAGAATTTTTTTAAAACCTGAAAGGCGGTGAACTTAAAGGGGCTCTCCGGCTGGAATACTCCGTTCTCGTTGAGCCATCTCTCTGGTCTGAACTCTTCTGCATCGTCTCCCCATATGAATTTCATCCTCCCCATTGCATATGGTTGATATGATACCATATCTCCTTTCCTCACTGTATCCATCTGGGAGAGTATCATCTGAAAAGCATATCTTTGCATCCTGCAACCAAGGCGTAATAAGAACAAAACCCGAGGATTATTTACGGAGTTAGGCCTTTCATCTGTGAACTCTATATCTATGGGCGGAGATGGAAACGAAATTTATGATACTTCTGATTGAGTGAAGACAACTATGTGGTAGTGATGATTCGCAGATGATTTTCCTTACCACTGGAACTGCAGGATAGATTCGGAGAGTTTCAGTGATTGCAGCATGGAGATAGTGCATCTTTTCGAGAACATCTTCGCTCAGACTGTCTGCAAACTCGGAAAAGCTTGTGATCCTTTTCATGCCAGTTACTTGCTTCACTTCATGTACAATTTTTTCTTGTACAGAAGGATGCTTGCACAGAAGGTAAATGAACCACGCCAGTGTGGTTGCTGTTGTGTCTTTACCGGCAATAATGAAATTGAGGATTATATCCCGTAAGTATACGGGATTAGTCTCGGACGCTTGCAAGAACCTTGACAAAATATCTTCTCTATCCACCTGCATCGAGCGTAAAAAAAAAAAAAAAAAAAAAATTGTATCATGTTTGATGGCTCTAAACCGAATAAGAAACAGAAACTTACAGCTATTGTCACTCACAGTCACAGAACTGTTATCATTTTTCTGCATTTGCTCAATTTTTGTATGGATTAGCTTAAACACAAACTCATCGATGATTTTGATATTTTTTCGTAATGCAGCTTCCGATCCCAAATTCAGAAACTTCTTGATCCTCCAGAAGACATCTACGTAACGCCAGAGGGACAATGCACTTGAATTATCAAAAGCATCACCAAAACTCCTGCCTTCTTGACTGGATCCACACATGTTGTCTAATTCAGTACCAAATGCTACTTTGAAGATCGAATCCAACGTTGACTTCATAAACATATCCTACATTAATGACATAGCTAGTTGATTAGGATAATCAAATTGGCTTGGTTTCTTTTTGAACAACTGAACTTTGCAAACTCACTTGAATATCAATTGTCTGGCTGGCAGTTGCGATCTCCGACAGTTTATCTGCAACTTTTGCTGCATTTTTTTGGAAGACTGCACTGCTGAACTCCCTCAACATCCTTGTTGAGAACTCATGGCTCGATATCTTCCTCTGTTGGCGCCACTTATCACCATCAACCGTAAAAATTCCATCACCCAGAAGATCCTTCAGCAGATTGTAGTTATACCACCCCTGCTCAAAGTTTCAGGGAACAAGTTAGAGCCTCCCTTGTTGCTTAATGCCAACAATTAATTTAGTTTCTGATTTATCCAACATCAATAGTCCTAGCAATAAACTTGGCAATAAACTTCAAATTGACCATAATTTCCTTTTATTTTTTCAAAAAGGTTTGTTTTGTGCCTAGAACTGGATTGGATTGTATAATTCATTAGATTCTAAAGGAACAAATAACGAAATTTTGTCCAAGTTTAAGGTAGAAAATGAATTGCTTGTTAAGGAAACTAATCCCTTCCAATCCCCACAAAGTGGTAGGATGTCAACACCCCTATAACTTATACCTTTTAATCCCCACAATGAAAAATCATTCCCCTCCACATTCATGTCTTACTTGGAACGTACTTTGAATCTTATGAGTTGTCCAATCCAATCCAGTACTAAACACCAAACAAGCCCTATATGTCTCCTCTAATGGAAGGTAGAACCTGTCTTGAAAGGTAGCTAAATCAGACAAAGGAAAGGGAAGGAACTTAAATGCCGCATCTGTTTCAAATGGAGAATTGAATGGCTTAGCAAGTAAAAAAGGACCTCGCAGAATCATCACACCTCTTTCATTAAAATGAGATTTTGGTGAAATTTAATTGCAACCCGTTAAAACTATAAACATCTTCTAACAAGCAGACTCGGCGTAGCTAACGAAAGTATAAATCTACAGTCACACACGTTTTTTGGGCAATTAACTGCGCAGATATTGGAGAGATATATACATACCTTGCCATAATTATCAAAATTGGTTTTGAGAATGTACTCAACATTTTTTGGATTGGAGGTGTAAACCTCATTCCTGAAGGCCCAATCAGCCTGTAGGTCTTGTACTTGGCAGCAAGATCAGTCATGTAGTCATGCAACCTGTTGAAGTTGAGCAGCTGGTGAAGGATTGTGCCAGCAACTGGTGGATACTTCCTCTTTCTCTTGGTCAGTTTCCAAGCTAGGATTTGGGCAGTGAAGATGGATAACAACAAAACCAGAGATGTGAAGAGGAATGGGTATGACAGAAAGTCCATGGCTTGGCTGGTGATGCGTGGTGTGGTAGTTTGTACTTGAGAGAGAGAGAGAGAGAGAGAGAGAGTATTTTATTGATGGTGGAGGTTGCGGGAAGGAAAGGGCGCGTGGAGATCGGTCACAAAGTCTAAAGGAGTTCTTATTTAATAAGCAAATTGATGTGATGCGATCATGTGATGCATATGTAATTCTAACGTCTTTCTGTCCTCATGTGTCGTTTGCGTTAATATCAAAATTTTATGGATACACTTACTCTCGTTTCATGACGTTTTATGACATTCCATGCAAATAATATAACATCATGTAAAGAGACTTGAGAAATTTATATATGATATTATATTATTAGTTTAGAATGCTACGATAATTGTGTACCTCTTGTTTGAGCCTGAAATAATAATTTGGGCCGAAAATGGTTAACCCGAGTTGAAAAGTCACAATCCTTAGCCCATTAGTAATCCCGCAAGCTAGTAGGCTTTTAGCCCAAGAAAGGGTTGATTCAACCGAGTTATCGTGCAAGTGGAATTGTGTGGCTCGATCAAGTCTTAAGTAAACTAAAAAATTTCCAAGGATCAGAATGACCTCTGATTAGGTGCGAATCATTCTAAGGATTAAAATTCATTCTTGATTAGATAAGAATGATTAATTGCATAAAGGAGTCAAGTTCAGAATCTCAGTTGGAATCAAAGAGGTTGAAATTGGATGAATATGAAGTTTTGGCTAAGAAGGGAATTAAAAAGATAAAAAGAGAACATTCAGGTAAATGTCAAGTAAACACAGTCCCATCAGGGCTTACCTCGGCATGCTTGTTCGTCGTGAAAAACATCCCTATAAACAGAAGAGGTTTGGCAACTTGAAATGCTCCTTTAACTCAACAAACAATTCAGACACCCTATGCAATAACGCTCGCTCTACGTGAAACCCTTCTTAAACCTATGAGAAAAATACCATCCTAACCCTCCCGTCAAGACATCTTTAGTTTGGATAAGTAAACAACACTGTGTTGACACTCGACAACACTGTCGGTTTGAATAAGTAAACAACAATATAGTCGTAGAATCAAGCAGCATAGGAGCGCCTTCACTTTGGAAAAATAAACAGCACTGCTTCTAGGTTGGTTGGTTATATATCTAAGTCTCGGCGGGCAAAGAGTTTCTATTTCTTTATCTTAAAAAAGTCACTCCATTAGCTTCTTGGTGAAGTGAGGCATTACCAAGTATTTCGTGTTCGGCACATTGAAAGCCAAAACCATTTATTGAACTTCACAATGATCTAGCAACCTTATCTTCAAGTTTTAGAACCTAAGGCCAAGACGCATTCCTTCTTCGGTTGTAAACGCTCAAGTGCAGAAGTGAGCAGTGCATTCGACATCACCACCACATCTATTCTACTCGCCCGACCAAGAGTAGTTGTGATTTGGCATGCCCGCATGAAAGACATAGTTGGCTTATAGTTACTCGGCATGCGTGCACGTAGTAGACATTGTAATTTTTAGGGCCAACATTTTGGCACACCGTGTAAGACCAGTGCTAAGATAACTACAAAGAACCTGACCATTGAAACTTGCTCTGTCAAGAAGAAAACAACGATGAGAAAATCATCTGTAAATCAGGCACCTACAAATCAGGCGCTTGCAAACTAAACAATTGTGTTTCCTGGTGTATAACTTGCACAAGATCATCATGTTGCCGTCACACCAAAGCCTATGGCGCGCCGAGAGGTAGAAATAACTTTCAGGCTGTCAGAAGTGACCAACTATGTTTATTAAAAAGAGAACGAGATCCATCAATTCTGAACCTCAGGAAGGTATAGTCGAAAAGGTAGATGAAGAAGACAATGAAGCTTCAGACATACCTCTTAGATTTTTCTTTCTACATAGACTCGTCGAACATACCAAACATTTAGAGAACTTTGGCGCATGAGCTTGGCCGACTTAACCTCAAGCAGAATACAGATAATCATTACCACGAGGGGATACAACCATCCCATAAGGAAAAGAATTGTCTATTAACAACATTATCCACTAAAATTCTGCAATATAGGCTGGATACCACTGTTGAAAGACATGGGGCGATCGTAGTACCACCTAAAAAGAAAGTATCTCTTAGTGAAAACAGAACCTTACATACACAACAGCTTAAGGCCAGTACAAGTGAAAATAGAGTCAGTTAGAAGTTTCCTTATGTGCTATCACCTTTGAATGGCATGGCTAGGATGGAAAAAAGAGGAGACGTGACAATTAACATAGAGGAAATTCAACGGATGATTGATTCGGCCGTGAACCCGATTTTAGTTTGTTCCCTGGCGAATCAAGTTTGTCCTTCCTGGAACACATTGCTCGATTCATAGCCAGTGTGGAGATGCCAACCATGACTTCCACAAGTTATGACTACTCAATTTCTCTTTGACTTCAGTCACATTTTCGTGGTATATTAACTTGTTGTCGAACTCATTGCAAACTTGGGACGACTTGGTTAGAAAATTCCATGAGCAATTTTGTAGGGTTGGAATAGAAGTGTCAGTGTCATCCTTGGCAAGAGTGGCTCATGCACAGATTATTTGCTTGCCGAGTACCTTTATCACTTTCGACCATCTCTAACTCTTGGGCTAAAAGCTAAATTTTTTAGCCCAGAAACAACTTTTCTGTTTCAACCCTTTTAGCCTAAAATTTTAGCTTGGGATTATTAGAATAAACTTAGCCTATTTTTTATCTTAAATTAACTTTAAAAAAAATTATGTAGGCTATTGTACATTTATTTTATGAATATTTTAATCTAAAAATATTTAAATTCCGATAAATACTGAAAAATCACTAAATCGATACATGAAACTTATGAAACACTATGGAAGAATATGAAAATCATGATAGAGATGTATAAACACAAAATACATAAAACACACACACATAACACATGTGAAGCACATACAAAACACATGTGAAGCACGTACACATATGAAGGACATACAAAACTTTCAACTTTCACCAATCGTTCAACTTTCACTAAACTTTCAACTTTCACCAATCGTTCAACTTTCACCAAACTTTCAACCTTCATCAATCTTTTAACTTTCATCAATCATTCTCTATATAAACACAAGTTGAATATCAATTTGATCACACAATCTTTCAACCTTCAATCATCCTCTATATTCACCTATCTTTCAACTTTCGAAGTGTTTTTGTTTCATAAAAATCCTCAATAGCTCATTAATGGGTGATAGAAGAAGGCGTAGCAGGGCAATGCAGATGACACAATACCAATCATAAACACCACCACCGTCCCTCTTGCCATTGTTGTAGTTTTCATGAAACTTTTCAATGATTTTATCCCACACAACCTTTTTATTTTGATCCGTGCCAACTGCACCATCTTCGCTAACTGAAACCCATGCCAAGCATAAAGCAACATCTTCTTCACAGGTCCAATTACGACCTCTAATATGCTCTCTTGCCATGTTGAACAATTTGGAAATGGAAAGAAATGGTAGAAAGAAAAATTGAAGAATTGTAGTTGAAAATTGAGTTTTGTGTGGATGTTTGAACAAATACATAGGTATTCATAGAGTTTTTGGGTGAATTTTGAGTTAAATAATTTTTTTAATTATTTTAGCATTTGGATTTAAATTTGGACCGTTAGATCTTTTTTTTTACCGTTAGATTTGATTATATTCAATCTTAGCCGTTTGATTCAATGTATTTTAAATTACATTTAAAAAAAACAAATTTTGAATCTGGACCATTGAATCAACCAACGGTCCGTAAAGCCCAGTCGTAGGATGCAGAAAAGAGTCGTTGGGCTTTGGTTGGTGGCCGACAGCAGCCCTGACAGTGGTCCCCCTGTCGAGCGTTGAAGCCAAACGGCTTGCATGGGGCGAGTGCGTGAGTGAACGGGTCGAGACTGGGCTCCATTTGGGCGAGTCCATGAGTTTGCGGGCTATTTCTTGGGGGGGGGTATTTGGCCTTGGTTTGGCATTTGGCTTGGGTTGGGTTTGGGGGGGGGGGGAATAAGTGGGGTAATTTGGCAAATAGTCTAGGGTTGGGTGTGTGGTCCTAAGGTAGCAAAAAATTGTTGCAAAGTTCCTTTGCATGAGTATGTCAGGATATCTCAAAATGATCTTACTATGGAATTCAAGAAGAAGTTTCTCGACATGAATTTTCGAGACATTTACAAACTAGCCGAGCTTTTTGAGCAGTATGACCTTTTGCTTAAGGAGGAAATCGCCACAAAATAGCATCTCAAGGAACGATATACAAGAATCCAGTCGTAAGGTACGGTTCAACTGAGGGCAATGGGGACACCATATGTCAACATTGATGTTGCAGAGATTGTTATTGATAATTCATTTGTGTGCAAGGCGTTGTCTCACACCAACTCAAAAGACATGAAGACATAAACAACTTCGATTAAGGCTGTAGTCCAAACTTCGAAAGTATACACTTTTGATATCACTAAGGTTGATATTTTCAATTAACTCCTAACGGCGATGATGATCTAGCTTTGGCCACATCATGTTATACCTAAAGCCAAAGACTTAAAGGTAGGGATGGGTACGGTTCCATTCGGTTTGATGTTTTTGCTGAAATCGAAAACCAAACCGAATTTATTGTTCGGTTCAATTCTCCCTAGTTTTTTTTTCGATTCGGTATAAGTTCAATTCAATTTTTTCTGGTTTGGTTTTAGTTTGGTTCAGGTTTTTTGTTAATTTTTATTTATTTTGTTTTCTAGAGTTCTAATCCTTTATATGCATAATGATGAATCAATATCCTTTCATCATCACACAAACATTAATAAAACAATTTTGGAGAGAAGAAAACAAATATAAAATTTACAAAGATTCTTACAAAATTAAAGAAAAATACTTGCAAAGAAACCAAGTTACAACCCACAACCCAGCCAAACTGGCCTTTTCTGCCATATCTAACATTCCAAACCAGACCAAGACTCTACAATTTAGGTCTCGGATCTTCGCCACCCATTTCTCTTAAGACCTCTACAATACGCCTTGGTATTTCTTAATCTTGTTACTCTTCTCTGTTGCTTTGCACTTCGAAGGCTTTGTTGGTTTTGAAGGAGAAAGGTCTTCGATTTTGACCTTGTTGATGATGTGCTTCACGAGGAC